CTAAGATTACTAACTAGAAATAAATAATAAATATATATATATATATATATATATATATATATATATATATATATATATATATATATAATTATTATTTAGTTCCAGTTAGTAATCTTAGTGCTTCAAGTTTTCATCTAATATTTATATTTTATTTTAGCTTTATTTCAAGTAACAAAAAAGTTTTCATAACCCTGGTCTGAAAGAAAAAAATAGCTCAAAATCACCTGTAGTCTCTTGCCTTACGTTCTCCTCATAGGTTTATGTGAGGCTTGTAGTAACTGCAGAGGTGTTTTGTTGCACTCTGATGCCTCATTTGTCGTGTGATGGGCATCAAAACCAGCCCCACCACCAGCACCATCAGCCCCACAGACAGCAGGGCGGGTCCCAGGATATTGGTGGCCATCATGGAGAAGCCAGCGAAGTAAAGTCCGCTCAGCACCATCCCGCAGAGCAGCACGCTGCCCCCGGAGGTCACGAGGAGGATGGCCTGCCAGTAGTACTCGCAGTTTCCCGGAGCGGGCTGCAGGGTCCAGAAGATCTTGTTGTGGGACAGGCTGAAGACCGTGCTCTCAGAGCAAGGCGTGAGCTGCTCGCAGGAATCTGAGTGCGGACAGTCGCTGAGGGGCAGGTGCTCTGGGACTGACGACATGTCTTCGGACATCCCGCACCCCTGCACCTTACGTGACCTCTGGTGAACACCCGGTCAGCCGAGCCTGTGGGAAATAATGAAAGGAGTTTTATCAATGAATTCAAGCATTCAGTTATACAAGCAAAAAAACAAAAAAAGTAATAATTCATTATTATTAACACTGCAGTTCCTTTGAAAAAGTAGCCTAATATTGTAACAAATAAACATTAACTGAAATAAAATATTATTTTTTTTTTAAACTTTTTTTTATTTCAGCTAATTGCCAAGGAAGCATTTCTCATTTTCATTTAGTTTAACCTGATATACTAAAATAACAAAAATTATATTAAACCTAAATGATAAACACACACACACACACACACACACAAAATATATGTATACAAAAAAATTAAAAGGAAAACAGAAACTGTAAAATTAAAAACTAATCAAACTATTAATACAAACCATAGTATCTCAATAATACTAAAATAACTTTGCTTCAGCGGTGGAGTAATTATTGCATTTTAATAAAAGCTCAGTTGTTTATTTTGAATAACATGCACTGATGGTTTCTTCAAAACACATCAATGAATATGCTAATGATTTCCCCCAGTGAACCATCTTTTTTTGTGCTGTATTGTTATTATTTTATGAAGATAATGTGTATAGTGTGCACGTGTAACCATGATGTTAATGCGGTGAATGGATTTTACAGCATTGATAGCAGGGGTGTGTCTAGAGCATTTTAAATGGGGGGGGGGGCAGTCGGGGGCACTGGCTCAAAATAGGGTGGCCGTTGGGGGGGGGTTGTGTTTGCGGAATGATGTATGTTATAATACATCATGTACACTCACTAAACAAAGCGTGACAGAGACAGTGACAGAGCAGAGCCAATTCATAAAAGAACAGTATTTAAAAGCACACATCCAGTTTTGTGTGAGTGAAGGAAATCTGCTTGGGAGTGGAGAGATCCGTCCTCGCGCACATGGATCGCGTAACATTATGCGCTCTCGACATTGTCATTAAGATCACACTATAGAAACCGCCTAAAATTAAGTATAAAGAAGAGAAGAAAGCGGCCCTAGGCAGCTGCCTACACATGCCAGGATCCACCACTGCCAGATGCAGTTAGAAATGTACTAAAAACAAGCCTATCGCAAGACATCTGGTAGGGGGGGCACCTGGGGTGGCCAGCCAAATTTCAGGGGGGGCCGGTGCCACCCCTGGCCACCACATAGACGCGCCCCTGATTGCTAGACAGTTGTTAAGATATTCTGTGTGGTTTCTATGTTTTTTTTCCGGTCTGTCATGAAGAGTCCCGCACCATCGCTTTGTCATCATCTAGTTTCTAGATGTGGCTCCTCCTTCATTGTGCATTTGTGGGAATTTTTCACCTGTTTTCTGGTCCAGCAGGTGAAAGTAGTGCATCCGATCAGTTACTAAAGTAACAGCACAAACTCTCCTCAACAAGACATGTCATTCATGTCAAGACCACAGATGTTTAGTTTAACACAGACATTAATAACAGCTATGCTTTTCTTGCTATAAACATTCTTGCTATAAGACTATAAACAATGTTGAAATTACAGTTTTTCTCAGTTGCTTTGGTGCATTTCTCAGATCAGAAATGAAATTCCCAAAACTACTTGTTCAACCTCCACATCATCTAGTCACTTGTGCACATCATAAAAGCAGTTTTTCATTATTTTGAACAAGTTGTGATTGCTTTGGTACACTCATGCAATTGATTATGTACATTTGTCTGCGGTTTCCTACATTATCACTGGCTATTGTCATGTTGCTCAAAATGTATGATATAGTTCTCTGTGCAAAAGTCTTACCCCTCAAAACATCTAGTCATTAGTTCATCGTATAAGTCATTAAATGCAAAATGGTTGATCTAATTGTCATAAACTCTCAAGCATATTTTCTACACATTTCTATTAGACTTTTTGTAAATTTGCCATGAATTGTGCAGGTGAATCTTGACTTTCACTAATGAAGAGAATAAGGATCAGCTAATGATAAACCAGTTCTCTGAAATTGCTCAAAGGTGCATCTCATGAACCTTTCCTTGGAAAGCATATATAGACAGAGGACAACACAAGAGTTACAGATTCTGACAATGGATATTTCCTCCCTGTTGGCCTGCAAATCAACAGTAGCTCTGTGGTCAATGACATTCCAAACCACGCCTTCTGCTTTTGGTCAGGTTGAAGCCAGCCTCATCCACATATATGAAGTTGTGAGATGGTTCACTTGACTCCAATTCCACATTGCATTGCAAGGGAAGATATTCGTTGTGATGTAGATGAGAATCTGTGGACCGACAGACTGGCACACCAGGTGGTGTAGACAGACTGCAGTGTGATTCCTCAAACAGTGCTGCAGGCAAAAGTAAAGTTCTGCCTAAGGAGTGTTTCCTGTGTTTGCCTTTCTAATTTTTTTTTCCGCCTTTGTGCCCATATTTCTTTTCTATATCACAATGACGTAATGTTTTTTTTTTTTTTGTCAGACCACTAGTAAAGTGTAACTGTGAATCCTGTCCAGTCTCTTTCAATCAATATCCCGCATACAGTAATGTGTACATTTGTACTTTTGAAATGGATATAGGCATATATAAGAAGTGCAACCTTCTGCATATCAATACAGTAACTGTCATCCAAACTGTTGCCATAGTTTACATCAGGTAATACTAACAGAGTGTAGAGTTATATTGACAACATGACTAAGCATTTTGACATCTTGTTTGTGAACAATGACACAAGGACTTTTCATTCTGATGGCACTGATATGTTCACTGACGTAAATACTTATTTTTGAGAGATGAACTAAAGATTTTGAGTAAGTTACAGGCTTACAAGTTGCAGGTAATCCATAGTGTGGTGCTGTTTGTACACATTGTTTTGAGAAATGCACATACTTCTTTGCAAATATTAAGGATGATTCGAGAAATGCACCAAAGCGACTGAGAAAAACTGTAA